ACTGGATGCACAGGTATTTAATTAATGGGTGTGGTTTATATTAATTAATGGGTGTGGCTTATTAATATTTTTTCAGGAAAAAGCCAAAGGACAGTTATTTGTTGATGATGGACATTCTTTTGATTATCAAAGCGGAAAATTTTTATTGAGAGATTTTAACTTCAATGGCAATGTATAAGTAGCAAGTAAGCCCCTCCCATCAGTTATTAAATAGTTATTAATTTCATTACGGTACAGAGCTGGTAATGGTAGCGGTCAGCTTGTTACAAAGGCGTGGGTGGAGCGCCTAGTCATCATTGGCTACGGGAAGAAACCTAAAGTCTATTCACTTTCACCTGACCCCTGGCTTTTTTCAATTAATAAATAACTACGTCACATCCGCATTCTTTACGTATTTGTGGTTTTGGAATTGTTTTTGTTGCGCGGAAGGGATGCAGATAAGTAGCAGCTGAATTTAATCTAGCTGTTCTAGCTGCATAGTTGCGGTCAAAGGTATGTCATTGAGTTTATACAGGGACATCCAAAAAAGGCTAAGGCCTTATCATTTTGACCCGATCTTTTTATCTAAAGGCTGGGAAGGACCTAGCGATTCTAATGGTGCAAACAAAATTTCTAAATTCCATGTTTATCAAAAGTTATAACAAAAAATCAATAGGTCAGGTGAAAGTGAATAGACTTTAGTTCAGTTGCAATGGAGACAGGTTAGTTGAATAAAGATATTTATAATGTATGAGCATCTCTCTCTAACCCACAGGCGGTAATACTGAAGAATTAAGATTCTCATATAACGATAATGCTAAGGTATTGACCATTGGAAGGCCAGGGGTTGTCATTTCTACTGATTTCACTGTAACTATTAATTAATGAAGAGACTCTGTCTTTTTTGTCTTTTACTTTTCAGCTGGTAATGGGTTCATGCCATCTTGATATTTATTACCATTAATTTCTTGGATTTAATTATACAATCTATTGCAATTGTACATGTCAAATGTATTACTAACATAGCATTGAGGAATATAAAGTGATACACTTTGTTAAGCTAGAATAACTTTTCTAACCATTTCTTGGAATTGTTTGGATACAGTGTTACCCATCCCTCAATTTCTTGGAAATCTTCCCATGATTGCATGATATTCTTGGCTGCGGTTTTCGTAGCGTCGTATCTTGGCCATTATATATGTATACAAATATAAGGAGACACAGACAAAGCAAACAAAGAGAGGAAGAGAAAGGATACAATATGTCCAACCAAGTATCTGTTAGTCGAGGTCAACGCTCCGCTGTGGGAGCTGGACATGTTCAGCATACGGAGGTGGAAGTGAAAGAGTTTGGCAAAAATCAGTCTATATCGGGTGGTTGCTTCCATCAAACTAATTTCATCATTAAGAATACCCAGGGACTGAGCCTGCGTCGTTACTGGTACATGAAAGGGTTTGTGAAAATGTTCCTCCTTTATTGTTTTGTTGGACTCATCTCATTCCTTCATGTTATTGCTGCCAGTGTTTTTATTGTCATTGATATACTGTGGATCCTGCTCTTCTCTCAGTATGTCAATATTGCTTGCAAAGTCATACCCATTGTCATCAAGCATCCTGTGCTGCCTAATCTCCAAACTATCAATCGGATTAATACACTTTTGGAAGTTAAAATAAAAGTCGTTGAAGGTCGCTATATCTACCTGAATACAGTAGATACTGCTGGATTGCAGGTGGGCAATGTGGAAGTGCAGTATAATGAAGCTCGTAGTGCTGGCCTCTTTCAATTGGGTTCAGCTAGTGGCACTATTAAGTTTCAGGCTCTTAGCCCAAGGGCTCATAGCAGGGTTCGCCAGACTCGAGCATTCTCTTTTCTTCTACTCCTGGGAGCTATCATTCACTTCCTTTATGCCCTGGGCTGCCTCATTGGGATCCTGGTTGTGAGTGGAGGGATGCCAAGCACCATCCTCA